ATTAAACTCTGAGCTAATGAGCTAATTAAGTGAATAATTGAGTGATGATTGAGCATTATTGAAGACACCTGATGTTAACAAGCAGAATCTCTGAAGGAGAAAACCGGAATGTTTAAGTCACCATTATGGAGATAAGTGTGTGTTTTAGTTGGGCTCTTGACCATTAACTTATTAACTTTAGATTTTGTTTGGTTGCTGTACATGAGTTATAACAGCCAGATGAACAATGAACTAAGGAGATCTGATGATGTTGGTTGTGATTTAACATTTTTCATATTTCACAATCATTTGACCTCAATCACTGAACTTATATTGAACCCAATTTCTGAGTTAAGTTTACCTTACTGTCATTGTAGAGCATACTATTTTTAGGCTTTTCAATGAAATTCAAATGATCAAATCAGGAAATAAAAAATAAACTTCTTAAAAAATATCCTGAGTAGGCACACACAGACATCAATAATCAGCATATGAATCTCAGCAATGGTGACAAACAGATCATAAGCTCATTATTTATTCATGCAGCAATGCATGATGGGAGCCATGAATGAGTTTTGATTGGTGGCACCCAGAATGCACTGCAACATGCTTTATAATTGTCACCATTGTTGAGATTCACAGGCTGATTCTTGATGTCTGTGTGTGCCTACTCAAAATATTTTTTAGGAAGTTTCTTTTTTATTTATTGATTTGATCATTTGAATTTCATTGAAAAGTCTAAAAATAGTATGCTCTACAATGACAATGCTGTTATTATTCAAAAGGTTAACTTAACTCAGAAAGGTTAACTTCGGTTTAATATAAGTTCAGTGACTCAGGTCAAATGATTGTGAAATAATGATTATGTTAAAACACAACCAACACCATGAGATGACCTTTGTTTATTGTTCATCTGGCTGTTATAACACATGTACAGCAACCAAACAAAATCTAAAGTTAATAAGTTAATGGTCAAGAGCCCAACTAAAACACACACTTATCTCCATTATGGTGACTTAAACATTCCGGTTTTCTCCTTCAGAGATTCTGCTTGTTAACATCAGGTGTCTTCAATAATGCTCAATCATCACTCAGTTATTCACTTAATTAACTCTTTAGCTTAGAGTTTAATTGGGTCGCTTAAAATGACCAAATTCCATGATGTTGAAGTTACATGAACATATTATGTTTGTTTAACGAAACATAGTTATGTGGAACCGGTGGAACCTGTTTACATAAAAAAGTTAAGTAAAGCCAACATATCATTTTTTTTTGAGTGTATTCAGAAAAATGATGAAAACATTATGAGTAAAAAGTTATTAACCGTATTTAGACACAGACATCAACAATCACCATTTGAAATTCAAAAATGGAGACATGCTTCATTGCCTGCACACAAAACTCATTCATGGCTCCCAGCATGTATTGCAGCATGAATACATTTTGCCACATTTTGATGAATAATGCCGTTTAGAGTGCGGTGTCTACTGATTTTAAGACTAGATGTGGCCAGTTGTCTTCACAAAGAATTTTTTTAATATAATATTTGCGACTGACACCAGCAACTAACTGCACCTGTTTCCGAATATGTAGGCTAATAATTTAAATAAAGAATTAACAACAACAACAACAACAAAAAAATCACAAACATGACATTTCTAAATAAAACAATTTTACAAACTTATATAACCTTAAACTTATTATTGGTTTATGTCAAGTTGTCATGACAAAGACACTGACAGGTTATGATGTATTGGTTTATGTCAAGTTGTCATAACAAAGACATCTCAAACAATGTCATATTTGCATTTAAAATGTCATAATTGAGCAAATGCCACTTAATGACAGTGTCATGATTATGAAAGTGTCATGTCAGTCTTATGCACACCCCTTCAAGTAAAGTGTTATACAAACACACAGTAACAGCAGCCAGAGGAAAAGAAAAAAAAAGCACTCAAAGGTCAAGGATCAAGAGGCCAACTAAATCAAACACTGATCACCATAACGGTGACTTCAAATTAATGTTCAGGTGTTGCACAAAAGAGGCAATTCAAGAGATTCAACACACTCAATTAATCTGTTCAGAAACAAAGTTCTAATGACATAAATATTTTTTTAATTTATATTTAAACAGGACAGGACAGTTTGACAGGACAGTTTGAAGCGAAGCGAAACATCCGGGAAAAAAACGAGAAAGGAACAGAACATGCACATCATGAGTAAAGAGCCTGAAGGGAACCAAAGCTTATTTAAGAATTTGCTTTAGTGCAGTTTCACATCCTGGTGCAAGATTCTCTGAAAACCTTGATACATTTTACTTAGGATGACCATATGTCCTCTTTTTCCCGGACATGTCCTCTTTTTGAACGTAAAAATAAAAAAAGCGTCCAGCCGGGATTTCTAGATTGCCCAAAATGTCTGGGATTCGGCTTTTGCTTTCTACAGTCTCCATTCCTTATGTTTACATGCACAACTTTTGTTTCAAACGGACTGAATTCATTCCCATTGATGAATCTGAATGTAGTGTTTACATGAACGCTTGTGGATGGCTTGATGTGCGTTTTTGTATTGTTTTAGGTCCAGCCTTCTCGCAAGCCACCATTGGTCGGTCGGTCATGTACGTAACATAAACATTGGTCAAACTGCGTGTTGTAACAAAAAAGTAAGGTTCCTTTTTTTATGGTTTAAATACAGCTGTTGTCGACTGACTGGATGACTTTTCTGATCTTCTCTCATCAATGTTCCTGAACAAGTGAAGAACCTTACAAAAAAAATTCCAAGGTAATTTACATTTTACATGTAATCATTTAACAGACACTTTTATCCAAATCGACTTACAAATGAGGAGAGCAATCAAACTAACAGTAGGACATGCAGTCTCAGTTACAGTACATGTAGAAATGTTTTTTTTTATAATTTTTTTTTATAATAGATTAAGAATAGTAAGTGTTAATGGGTCAAGTTGACGAAAGAGATGCGTCTTCAGCAGTTTCTTGACAATTCGTCCCCTTGGAATTATAAGGTTCTATCTGCGTTCTGAGCAGTTTTGAGATATTGAGCTTCAAAGTTTTTGCATTACATATAGGAAAATTTATATGGGGAACAAGTTTCTTTCAAACATGAAAATAACAGGGACCCTAAATGTATTCTAAATATACAATATCAAAATCCTCTCAAATTTGTAAATGGTTTTTTTTTGGAATGGGTCAAACGCAGATAGAACCTTCTAATTCTAAAAAAACACTTTTCGCTTAGAATTATAAGGTTCTATCTGCCAAAACATTATTTGAACATTAAATATAAAATTAATGTTGTAACAATGTCTCAACATGTGTTAGAAAGTAAAATTTTATCCTTTCTATGACATTTATTTCATATTTTTTAGCACTTCCATGTATTTAGGACATTTCAAATTAAGCAAGGTAGGTCTAAATATTTTGTCCAGTGCAGAATCTTAATTTTCGTTACCAATTTGGTGGGTAATTAAACACATTATTGCAGAAATTGTTACTTTAATCTTTCTTTTGTTTAGACAGAAAGCAGCTACTGTAATACATCTAAGCAGGACTTTATTCCAGCTAAAGTGGGCCAGGTGAAATGGCTTTCTCTCTAGACATCAGTAATATGGCTGAAATAACATGCTAACGTTTATTGTTGTAATTAAGACCCCATCAATGAAATTGTTAACTATTTGACCTTTAAGGCTTAAAATTGTAAAAATTAAGACATTTCAAGACTTTAAAAACTACAAGAAAATCGACATGCTTCAGCAAATTAATTCATAAAGTTTAATAATCATTGAAAAATTATTCACTGACTATTATGATCACAAAAAATGTCAGACTAATTTTTTAATCACACACACACACACTCTCTCTCACTCACACACACACAGTCACACACTTTCACACACACACACACACACACACACACACACACACACACACACACACACACACACCAACACACTTTCACACACACACACACACACACACACACGCGCGCGCGCGCGCACACACACACACACACACACACACTTTCACACACTCGCACACACAGTCACACACACACTTTCACACACTCGCGCGCACACACTTGCATGTTAAATGTTTTTTTTAAAATATTCAATTTACCCACTGCATATTTGTATAATTCAGATAATAATAACTATAATAATAATAGTTATTAATAATAACCTCATTGATCATTAATAATAATAACCAATACACTATAAAGAAAATGGCCAAATTAAAGCCACTTCATAACACTACACAATTTAGTGAATATTTAATTTACTGTAAATGTATAGCATTATGCCTTTATTGGGGTTTCTTTTTGTCTTCAAGGAAAAAGCCTGCGACATGACATATAAAGTTGATTCTGATTGGTCCTCTTCTGTGCATTCGAAGTGCTGATTGGCTCACGCAGATAGAACCTTATAGAGCCAAGTTAGAGTTCGATTTTGTAGATAGAACCTTTTTGTTTTTTCAATAAAAAGTCCCACAATGGACACAATTTAAAAAAACACATCACATAATGTAAATAAGTTGTCACAGAATAAGAATATGTGAATAACTCAATTTTGACAAAAATGTCAGATAGAACCTTATAATTCCAAGGGGACGAATGGCTAAAAAATTTGCAGCTCGGGTTGAGTTAGGCAGGTCATTCCACCAGCTTGGAACAGTCAAGTTAAAGGTCCATGCTAGTGATATTGTGCCTTTTTGGGATGGCACCACAAGGTTCACTTGCAGAACGCAAGCCTCTGGATGGCAAGAAGGTATTTTAAAAGATTTAAAGGGGTTAAATGTATTATTCTTGTTTTATAAATTCACTAGCAGAACAGTCCAAGAACACCTGGGTAAAACTTTATTGTGTAACATTTTTAGTGTGTAAATCTGTACATATTCCTCTTGGAATGATTTAGTAAAAAAAAAGAAAAAAAAAAAGTTTTAATTGTCTTTCATCATCTGTTCTTCACTAGATCTACCTGATCATCTGAGGGATTTGCCTGAATCAAGATGCTGCTGATCATTGAAGCTCTTATCATTTTTGCTGCTCTAGGACAGGTAAGCTTGTGTTCTAGTATGAATATTACAGACATGAATATGATGTGATCATTATGATTTCTGTTGCTGCAGGATCACAGCGCTGCTGCTGCTGCTGAAGGACAGATATATCAAATGGATATGGCACTGGATTCAGTTGATGATCAATATATGGCCTGTGGAAAGAAAATGGCATATCTGGTGAGGAATAAATATCTAAAGAAGGAAATCAATAACTCAACTGAATTTAAAAAGGCGTGGCAAGAAGGTGAAGAGAATGCCAGAGCGCCAGAAGATAAATTGACAAAGAATCATTCTATTGCCTTGTATGTGTACACTAACCTTAATTCTAGCATATATAGCAATTTTGATATGGCTGTTTATAATGGTAAACAAAACTACAGAAACCAGACATTCAAATGGTATTCACTTCAATTTTTGTTAACAGATGCAATAAAGATATTGACTAAAAAACAAAAGAAATGCAAGTCAACATATCGTGGTACAAAAGCTGAATTTTATAAGAATGTCACAGGCACAGAGGTTCGTTTCGGTTCATTTGCTTCATCCTCTCTTGATCGTAAAGTAGCACAGGGTTTTGGAACTAAATCTTGTTTTGAAATCAAAACTTGCAAAGGTGTTAATGTGATCAAATATTCTAAGTATCCTGAACAGAAAGAGGTGCTGATTCCTCCAAATGAGAAGTTTAAAGTCACTGCTGTCAAGACAAGAAAAGACCAGAAAAATCTCTGGTGTGAGACAGTGTACAAGTTGGAAAGCTCTGGAGAAAGAAGTGAACTGAATTGTTCAGTGGCTTTCGAGAAATCAGCGGTGTCTAAATGCAGATGCTCAAAGGCAAAGGGCAGTTGCACAATGTATATGATATCACGGTGAAGCTTCTTTGAAACTACAATCTGTATTGTATAAATAAATATATAAAAGTACTATATACATAAAGGTGACAATAATGTATCCAACCATTCAGTGTGAGGGCTTTTTCTAGGGCGGAACGAAAATGAAAGGATAACAATTGAGCGAACTGATGGAGAAATTCACATTGGGCAGAAAATTGGGCAGAACGGCACTGCCACCCATTCCCTGTTATTTGATCCCATGATCTTGGCATTACTAAAGCCTTTCTGTACAGCTTGAACTAAAGTAATACTTCAAAATGCTGAGTGCTTTGAATTTACATCCTTACATTGTTTACTTCAAACAAAATGCTGAGTGCTTTGAATTTACATCCTTACATTGTTTACTTCACTTCCACACTTAATTACCCAATTTTTTTTTATTCTTCGAAATTAATTTGATCATACAATTGTGACGTAAATGATTTAAAGATCTGTATTGATTTACTTGTTTTTTTTTTCTATTACTGTAATCTTATGTTGTGTGCTGTATTGTCTTCACAAGTTAGATATAAGCGAATGACAATGTTGTGTAGCAGTTTCCATTGCTTTTGCTTTGCTTGAATAACAGATGTTGAATTTGTGCTAGTCAGATGAAGATTATTCAATAAACACAATAAATGCTCATTTTTATTATAACTTGGTCTCCTGAATCATGCTCTGTCTGCATCATGGCCATCATGGCCAGTTAGTTGGAAAGTTGTCTTGAATCTGTTATTCAAGACAACTTTCGTGAATCCTAAATGATTCTTTTTATCCTAGGCAAAAATCTCAAGTCTTTGATCACTTTTGACATGTTCGCCGAAAGCCGATTAATGACCATTGTGATCAAATTTTACCAAGACGAAATTCTGGCAGTGTCAGAAGTTTTGAGACACAGTCCTGCAGTGTGACTTCTTCGACAAACATCAAATCAAAAACCAATAGGAGCACAGAACCTGAAGACGAAACTTTAATGAGACAACAACAAACCACCACTTTTTACCAGGTTTCTTTTTTAAGAAAAGCCGTGATCAAAATGAATGCTAAATTGTTTTTCTTTGCTAGCCACTATTTCTCTCCTGCATGCAAATTCAGCTCACAGTCACCAGACATGTCATAAATGAATGATTTAAAACTCTTGGCAAGTCTCTTCTTGTGCATCTTTTAACACCTCTTGACTGCCGGCCTGACATTGATTTCCATTACACGAGAGTAGATGTTAAAACTTCATGCTGATTTGTACTCGGCTTTCGCCAAGATAAGCAAAACTAAGACGTAGCTTTACAGTAAACTATGCTTCTCCATCCATTTACGCTTCTTTCCATAAGGTAGTGTGACTCCCCTTCTGTCCGGCGTTAACGGCAGCAGTGTACTTGGCGCGTTAGCGCACGCGACGGCTGCAACTACAGGACCAGCACGACAACCGTCTGGATTGAACAGAGTAGGGGACATCTCTAGGGTCTTCAAGTGGGCACCTTCCGTCCTCAGTGTTTCGTCGACTAGCCCACGACACCTCAAGAGGGCTCGACAGTGACTCTGGCGTCCCAGAGTCACCCCCCTCCGTCCCCCACTCAACTCAGCCCAGCTTACTGACCTCTACATCCCTCCTGCTGCTGAGACCTAACCACAATATCACAATCTCCGCGACCCAACCATACGCGCCAACCCGTTGACTAAGGCTGTCGAGCCCCACTGGTGCGTTAATATGCAGTTTCAGTGGACAACGGTTCCGTATGGCATACCACCTACCGCAAAACACAATATCTACCCAACCACCCGTCATTCACGCAATATCCACAGGAACGTATACAAACAAACCAACAGACTCTTCAAGTTTTCAAGAACTCTACGAAACCGTAGCGTGGCGGCCTGTACACAGCCAGCTAGAATCTTTCCGTCTCAACCACAGCCAGTTGCTGCTCCTTTCTGCTGCTTCAGATAAGTTCTTTACTGTGCGACGCAACTCTTGGCCACTGAATCCGACGTCTCTGAGGAACCGGGTTGTAGAGTGTGCCACAAAACCTCGACAACCCACTTCCACTGGATAAACCTGGACTCTCCATCCTCGCTGTTCTGCTTCAGTGGCCAGATGAGCATACCGCAGTTTCTTCCTCTCATATGCCTCATCTACCGCATCCTCCCATGGCACTGTTAACTCTATCAGTTGAACAATGCGTGCTGATCCAGACCACAAAACAATATCTGGTCGTAGGTTAGTGGTGGCAATCTCAGGTGGAAAAATAAGCCGTTGGTCAAGATCAGCCAGCATCTTCCAGTCCCTAGCAGCTTCCAGTTGTCCTGGGCGAGAATTGGTGTTAACACCTTTTCTTGGTGGTTGCTCGCCTGGGCGGAGGAATATTGTCTTCTGCGTGTAATGTTTTGCTAGAACAGGTGGCAACTTATTGGTCATGTTACGCTTGCCTTCTAATGCTAAAGCCAAACATCGCAGTACTTGGTCATGGCGCCAAGTAAACCGACCTTGGCTAAGAGCCACCTTACATCCTGTCAAAATGTGCCTTAATGTGGCAGGTGATGAACACAAAGGACAAGAGGGATCCTCTCCTACCCAGAGGTTTAGGTTCTGCGGTGATGGGAGAACATCATATGTTGACCTAATAAGGAAACTGATCCTACTCTCTTCCATTAACCAAAGGTCTTGCCAGCCCATCTTACGTTGTTCCACACTCTCCCATCTCGTCCACTCTCCCTGCTTGGCCTGTGAAATGGCCTTTATACACCTCATCCTCTCCTCCTGCTGTCGCACCTCGTTGACTACCAGCTTCCTCCTTTGAGCTGGGCCTGCCTTGTGCCATTTAGGAGGAGCTAAACTGAGCCCAAAACCCCCTCTTCCATGCTGTACCTGTCCCACGATATCCCTAATTTGAAGGGCAGCCTTTGCCTCTACTACAGATTTCTTTGCTGACCACTTTCTACCAGTTTTTAACACAGGGGCTGCCTCCCTTACACATTTGTCGCGTGACTCTACTAAGGTCATTTCCAGCCTGACCTTGGCACACTTGAACTCCTCGGTTAAAGCAGAGACTGGCAGCTGCAATATTCCTTTACTATAAAGTCCTACTCTGCTGAGGCAGCGTGGAACTCCCAACCATTTCCTGATGTATGAACTTACCAACGCTTCCAGCTTCTCCACTGTTGTCAAAGAAACCTCGTACACGGTCAGTGGCCACAGCAACCTCGGCAGTAGACCAAACTGAAAGCACCAGAGTTTTAGTTTACCAGGTAGAGCACAGCTGTTTATGCTCTTCAACCCTTCCACTGCTTGTCGTCTAACTTCTCCCACCCGAACTGTGTCCTTTAGATCCCCATCGTACCATCTCCCAAGACTCTTTACTGGCTTCTCAGAAACTGTTGGTATTGCCTCACCATTAATGAAGAATGTTTTATCTACTACCTTTCCTTTAACTATCGAGATGCTCCTTGATTTAGAGGGCTTAAATTTCATTCGTGCCCATTCAATATTATCTGTTAACTTCCCCAATAACCGATTAGTGCAGGCTACTGTTGTAGTCATGGTTGTCATGTCATCCATGTATGCTCTGATTGGTGGTAGTCGCATCCCAGAAGCCAAGCGCTCTCCTCCTACTACCCATCTTGATGCCCTCATGATTACTTCCATCGCCATGGTAAAAGCCAGTGGAGAAATGGTGCATCCTGCCATTATTCCAACCTCTAGGCATTGCCATGCAGTGCTGAATTTTGGAGTTGAGAAACTGAATTGCAAATCTCCAAAATAGGCTTTCACTAAATTTGTTATTGACATTGGTACTCTGAAAAAATCAAATGCTGCCCAAAGAAGCTCATGTGGCACTGAACCATATGCATTAGCCAAATCCAGGAATGTCACATGGAGCTCCTTCCTCTCCTTTTTAGCTGACTGAATTCGTTGCCAGATAACATTGATGTGTTCTAAGCATCCTGAGAACCCTGGAATACCCGCTTTTTGAACTGAGGTGTCAATGAAGCCATTCTTTAACAGGTAGGTGGACAATCTCTGGGCAATAATGCTGAAGAAAATCTTACCCTCAACGTTTAATAGTGAAATAGGACGAAACTGACTGATGCTTGTAGCATCTTTTTCTTTAGGTATAAAGACTCCACCTGCTCTGCGCCATGCTCTAGGTACAACCTGTTTTTCCCATGCCACTTTTATCAATTTCCACAGAATTCGCAGAACTCCTGAAGCACTCTTGTACACTCTGTACGGAACTCCATTAGGCCCTGGAGATGATGAAGCCCTTGCCTTTCTCACAGCCTGCTCTACCTCTTTCCACTTAGGTGCACAGACCTCCATTTGGTATTCTGGTGGGTTGATAGGTGGTATGTCTGATGGAATTGACATAGGCTCATGCCTTTTTGCATCTGTATGCGTGTCCTCCAAATATCTCTCTAGCTCAATCCTAGATGTTTTTAAAGTGCCATTCTTCTCACTGGTGAATAACTTCTTTACGAATTTGAATGGGTCTTTATAGAAATTAGCCCTCGCACGTTCCTTCTTTTTGTAGCGTTTCCGTAGGCGCTCAGCTCTGCGTAATGTTGCCAGCTTATCTTTTATGGCCCTTTGTAAGAGATTGAGTCCCTCCTTCTGACTTTGTTCGGCTCTTTTCCATTGCTTCCTCAGCTGTCTCCTTTCTCTAACTAACCCTTCAATTTTCTGCTGCCGTCTAGACATTCCAGGAGTAGTTTGTACTTTTTCCTTCCTTTTTTCCACACCAAACCTCTCACTTCCATATGCGTAAATGATGTCCCCAAATTTATCCAGCTTCTTTTCAACTGTACCAGTTAATCTTTCCAATGCAAAGCATAGATCTGTGTTTACCGTGTCCCATGCAGTTTTCTCACAAGCTCTTGGCCATCTAACTCCAGGCCTATGCCCGTTGAGGTTCTTTTCTCTCTTATGCTCCCAGCCAGCACAGCCATGTGGGGCCCACATGGGTTAGACCTGGGCTATCTAACTGGGACCCAGACAGTTTTGCTCCCGGTTTCCATGTAGGCCCCACATGGGTTTGCCCAGATGAAATGAATACTGCTCAGTGTGCACACTATAGGCTGTTAAATGTAACACTGACCAGTGTTGGAGTTAATTAGATAATTAAGTGATTGAATAATGATTGAGCATTATTG